GAGTTTGAGTTTCTACTTTAAGTTTGAGTTTGTGTGGTGGGTAAATGAAATTTGCTCCACATCTGAGTTTGTGTAGTATATATATATGTAGAACAGTTTCTCTTCTCTTTACCTTTTGAGTTCTACAGATTTTGTTGCTCCTCGGTTCTTGAAAAGTAGAAGAAGAAGTAAAAAAATAAATGCAGAGCCTCAAAATTTGGATTTGAACAGGTAGTCCAATCATGACTAAACTACCCTAATTTTTCAATCTGGTTTCATTTTCCCCCAAAATATAAAAGACAAAATCTCAAGTTTGGTCTTTCAATGTGGTGGGAGGGGTTTGTGTAGCCCAGATATTAGAAAGTCGTGAAACTCTTGTTTTCTGCCGAAAAATATTACTGGGAAACTGACATTTACGGGCTCTCATGTGGGAAACATGTAATATAGCAATATGCTTTTGAGTTTTGATTTTATTGCAAGTCTTAGTTAAAATGCTCTGGCACCCCGATATACTTGCCTTTTGTTTCCAACTTTCTGATCAGCTGTCTATTTTTCTGATCTCAGTGTGTTTGTGTAACTATTTTGGTTAATTTTTTTTCTTGGAAGAAGCAATCTGAATTCTTAGGTGATTTATGCAAAGAATGAATTGAATCATCTATAACTGTGGAATGTTTCTCTTATATAGAACAGGTTGAGAGCCCTAACATAGACTGGTCATGTGGTCTAACAATTCAATTCAATACAGTACAATTCAATGCCCAAAATTAATGAATAAACACTTTGTCCTGACCTCTGCGTGTGGAAGAGTCTTAATTAATGGTCAAATGTATTGAATTTCCTTTAATTAATTGTTATGTGCATAATTTGAGATAATTCTATATACTCTCGTGATAAATAAATAATAATAATTGATTTCTCAAGGATTTCTTAGAAGAAGATCCAACTCTGTGTTTTTTTTATATGGAAAGAGCATAAATTTTTTAAGAAAATAATTATGATGTTTGAATGCGAAAATGATTTTTGCATATTGAAGTTGTAAAGGAGAATCATAAACACGTAAGTGCCTTGAGCTCTTATAATTGAAATTTTTATAATTATGTTATTCTAATGTTTAAAATTATTTAGATCATTGAAAATGTGGCAAGCAAAACATTCTACTCAACAATCTCACAGTAGTACAATTTGGAAACCTGTGAAGGTAAATTTGCATAACTCATATCAATGTCGCAGTAAATCCTTTGTATAACTCATAATTATGTTATTTTTCAAATTTTCTATATGTAGTGTCCTCGACAATCAGATTCTATCGAGTGTGGAAACTATCTGCAAAAGTATATACGAAAAATAGTGCGGAACCCTGATACTCCTATAACTGAACTTGTACGTATTATCATATACCTATATGTGTTTATATATGATTTGTCCTTGTATTAGTATTTTTTTTTTTTTTGTAGTTTAATACAAAAAGTGCCTATCAACAAGAAGAAATCGACGAAGTTCGAATAAATGGGCATCTTTTGTTGGGCGATTTGTGTAGTACCTATGGATTCATTAGTTTTGTTTATTTGATGTAAGTATTTGGTTCAGACTACTTTCTGTCTAGTACTTGGTAGATTAGAAATGCTTTTGTCTTGTTTTTAATAGGTAGAAGTTTGAATTTTGTATATATGGTATTGCATAACATATTAGTTTTGGATTATTATAGAAGTATTTGACTGATGTTGAATATGTTGGATTGTTTTGTTTATAATATATAGAAGTCTGAATTCTTATGCTGAATGTAGTTTTATTGGAGGGACGGGCGGTCTCATTTGCTCCGGTGTGGAATGATGTTAATATAGAAGTGTTTGATTGTTGCTGAATATAGTATATTATTGCTTTCCAAGTTAGTGTTGAGTTATTCTAAAGTAGAGAGGTCATGTTGGAATTTGTACTTGTTTGATATACTTTTAAATAATTGTGTTGTGAGTTTAAGGTTAGTTCTTAAGTTAAGTTTTAGAAGATCATGATGTTGACATTAGTTTTACATGCATATTAGTTTTTGAGTTTCAATAATATTGAGAATTACTTTCTGTGAATAGGTTGAAGGAGGTATATTGATTGATTAGTTTTGAGTTATATTCTAAAGTGGAGAGGGTCATGATGAAATTTGTACTTACTCTTGATTATTTGTGTTTTTTGTTAAGTTTTTATAGAATAGGTTGGAAGGGAGAACCCTCTCTACCTTCTCGTGAAAC